TTTTTTTTTTTTTTTTTTTTTTTTTTGGTTTTTATTAGAGGAAAATTTTAAGATTTAACATTTTATCAACTAAAATTTTCTTTTGTATTGAATTCGGTTATGAAGATTTTTGAACAATAATGATTCCAATAGAACTTACAGTTTTTAACTACTAAATTGCATCGAAAAAAATAATTAGAAGTACTTATGATGTCTTCAAGAATAGCAGTTGAATTGAAATCTAATGACAAATACGATAATTATTTAAACGCGACATATCCTTCAGTAGTTCGAATATGGTTTTAAGTCCCTGGTAGTATTATAATGAATAGACAGCAAATGTTTTTGAAAATTCATATTCCTATCGAAATGACTGAAAATGATGAAAAAAACTGGAAGCTCACTTTGGATATTTCATGTACATATTTCTACGTTTACGTACGCAGCGAAATTTTTTCACAAAATGTAGAAAAGTTGGCAGTTATGTAGTAAATGATCCGAAGGAAACTAACCTTGTCCCAGGACGATGCTTGAAGAGCCCCGTCTCCGTCTCGGTGGGGGTGGTTGGTGCTTGTGCGTATGACTGTGACTGTGGCTGTGTGAATGTGAGTGGCAGTGTGTGTGACGTGTGTGCGTGGGCGTGGCTTTGCACGGTGGCGGTTGCTGTTGTTGCTGTTGCTGCTGCTGAGGATGAAGATGAGGATGAGGCCTGTGCTAGGTGTTCCCGCCACGGGCCGCTGCCACTTGATCGAAGCTCAATGATTTCTTCATCTCCGTCATCGACAACGCACCACCCTCCTGCTGAGAAAATAGGAAACACCGGGTGTTAGCTATATCGGGGTGGTGATCGATTGCTAGCAACCCTCCTCCTCGGGTTATCCCCCGAGTTCTCTACGTCTCATAGCCGCGAGCGGGCGAATTATTAAAAGTTGCCAGGCCTCGTTAAAACTTGTTTCAACCTTTTTTTCGTGAAGGAACGTTCTCCGCCTCGTACGAGCCTGCGTGTCGGAATCGCTCGATGCGTCACCGGTCCTTGCCTTGTTTCGAACGAGTCTTTCTATCTGAAATCGTCTCTGAGAGGGAGAGAGAGAGAGAGAGAGAGAGAGAAAGAGGGAGAGTCACCACATGCGTGCGTGCTCTTTCTCCGTGGACCGTCTCTGGCGCTTGAATTTTTCCCGAGATTTACAGAATCTGTCCTCGTATATTGATTCGAGCGACCAACGTCCAGCTGCGACCCCTCGGAAAGAGAACTTATTTGCGATGAAAATATGTATACGCGGGTGAGAGTCGAAATTCGATGAAATATCGGCGAACAAAGGCGACAAAGTCTCTTGCGAAGTTGCGGCCGTATACATGATAGATCCTCTTTTTTTTCCTCTTCTTTCTTTCTTTTTCCCCCTCGCTTTTTTCAGATAGATACGTTCCGGAACGATGGGACGTGTCGCGCGAAACGCGGACCATCGATTTCACGAAGGCGAGTTTCGCGCTTCCGCAACGGAAGCAACAATGTTTCGAAACGTTTTGGTTTTGCTGAACGGAGAAGCAAGCCCGCGAAATCGCGAGGCTTGACACAGGATTTTTCGGTTCGAATTTTCGGATGCGATTCCGGCGTTCTTTGTATTCGGAAATACCGCTTTTTCAATCCTTTTTCCGAAATCCTAGAACATTCAGTTTAATCGGACACGTGCGTAAAATCGAAATGGTTCGGAACTGAATTTTTTTCCGCTTGAATGTTTGAAAACTATTTTGACTTGCTTCTGAATTGCTAACGGCACTCTTGAATCGCTTTCAAGGGCTAGGACAATTTTTACGAGAGCTTAGTGAAGTGCAAAAGTGAACTTTATTCTACACTGGTACTTGCAAAAAGTTCAGAGTGATATCTCCTGCGCTTTTAATCGGTTTATGTATAAATGCCCAGCTCTTGGCCATTGAAATAGGACTACTCACAATTTTCGACAATTAAATGGTTAATAAAATTTAATAGATTAGAATTTAGAAAATAGTGACGAATGGTGAATTAAGCGACGAAGTATAATTAAAATAATGAAGTCCGAGAAGAAATTGTAATTTTAATTTCACTGCTTGCTGCATTTATGAACAAGTATAGATATAATATAATTATGATATATTTATGGGATAAATTAGATAGAAGGACAAAGAAAAATATCTGCGTAGTAAAATATAATTATAGAATTAGTTATATTATTATATGTGAATTATATTAATTAAACACATCTTCACGATTTTTAACGATCTTACAAGTTTTTAATACCGTAGTTTATTAACAGAGTATACACAGCGTTAATAGTTTGCATTGCTAACTAACTGGTTCTAATTCAATAGCCAAAGTTTACAGAATGATAATTGCAGATAATTCTTTTCACTGTTGATTTACTTTTTTATCGCACATTTTATCGATGTTGCATCAATACTTGTATTGATAAAACTCATGGTTACATCGTTAAACGAGATACACAGAACATCCGTAGAATCTCTGAGTCTCTCATTAAACTACGAACAGAACGATTGAAAAAGAACTCTGTACTCTAAGTCTCTAATCACTCTTTGCCCAGGTGAATCGCACGATGTTTATTGAGAAGCACTGATCTATATTCGTCTTCCATCCACCCCTCCTCCCCCATAA